GATCATCGACCGTTACCCTGTAAGTCCTGCTTACTGTGCCTCCATCACTGACAGTATATCATGGACATGGCATCACCACTTCCCTCTGCTGTGCAAAAGTGAAGCCAAAATATAGTTAATATGGCAGCTGCCATCTTGCTTTTTTGCAACGAGATTCGCCGCAGTAGCGACCAGGAGTCCAGTGACAGCATCGACAGCACCAATCAAAGCTGTCAAATCAACCAAAATACACCCCTTTTTAATGATAATCGCTTTTATTGGCCAAGTATGTTACACACAAAGAACTTGTCTCAGGCACAGCCTTTATATTTTGCATTGCAGCTACACTTTGTTGCTTCACATTCTCAGCTTTGACTGTAAGTTAAATAACAAAAAATACTGTAACTTGACCTTAATAACCTTCACTTGCTTAATAGATTTTATAATGGTAAAACCAATTATCTCTGAACGGATCATTGAGACTTAATGGTAATTAGAAGGTTTTTATTCAGTTTCAGTTTGTCATTTTATGTAGAAAGAGTAGTCATAGCCAAACTCATTGAAATTCATATAGAAACAGTGAAACAGTTTGACACTGGATTCCTGTAGAAACTCACTCAAACTCGTACTCAAGTTCACCACAGCTCCCTTTCTCTGAAAGTTTTCTTCCTTTTCTTGGTATGAAAAGTTATGAGATCACTAACCTATGTCCTGTTTTTCTTGCCCTTTCAGGGAGAGGAGGTGAATGCCGGGAGGATAGGTCTTACCATTATCATTGCAGGGATGGTTGGGTCTCTGATCTGTGGCATTTGGTTGGACAGAACTAAAACCTACAAGTAAGATGAATGTCCAAAAAGGACATCACAAGAGCAACAGTTTGTCCTCCTCAAGAACTGTTTTGGGTGTACATAGTAGAAGATTGAATATTGTGACTGATTGAGAGACGGACTACAGTAAAAATCGTGTGCTGGCATGCTGCAAAGACTAACAAGAAAGTTAAAGATACTATATTACAGTGTTAAATAAGTTGCATCCTGTTTAATTCCTTGGTTGATCTCATCTGAATGTCATAATCTGATATTGACACAAGATCAGTCAAGGAATCATTAATTCCAAGTCAAATGCATCATCAGCAATAAATTAAGTGTGTGGGTTGCTTAAATGTAAATATTAACTATTAGCTGAAAACACCGGTTTCATTTATGTCCAGCGCATCATATTTCATATTCTTTACAAGTATTTTTCATTCTTTGCATGTATACTTGCTACCAGGTTTTTGCTTTTTCAATGGCTTTGTTTTAACGCTGTTGTACGTTACTGATGCTCAGCTGCTCGGTGAAATAGTGAGACCACTGGTAGGAATGCACATTGTCACCCACATGCTCATAAGTGTTGCATGTGCATCCTTGTGTATGTGCACAAACCAAAATGTGACCCTCTGTTGAAAACACTACTTTGTAGCACCACTAGTGGTTTAAAAGCTGACTGTATTGTTAAATCAGAGTGGTTTTAAAACTTCATGCTTCACTGTGTTCTGCCTCAACACCTACAGTAAAATGAAGAGTTAATCCACACAGACTGAAAATGCAGTGCGATGATGATGATTAAAGTGTTTTGTTTTGTATGTTTCTCATGTGTATTTCAGACAGACTACCCTGGTTGTCTACTTCATGTCACTGGTGGGGATGATAGTCTTTACTTCTACACTCAGTCTGGGGCACCTCTGGGTAGTCTTCGTCACTGCTGGAGCGCTTGGGTATTTCACCATTCTATTCTTCTTCCTTTTATAATATCGAAGTAATGCGATCAAAGTAACCAAAAATATTCTCTCGCAAGATGAGATAAACGCAGTCTCTTGTACTGTACATGACTTTTAAAAAATTATTTTGATCAGTGAACAGAAACTGAAGAAAACTTTGTGCAACCATGTTCAAGGAAATTATTTTGTCATGCCTTGAATTCTTAAGCTCTGCAAGTGAAATAGTTCTGTTTACATTTATGACAATAATTTACAGCTTTGTTGATTTTTCCTCTTAAGCTTAATAAGAATTTGCACATACAGTGCACCCTAAAATACTGCAGGGCCAATGGTGAATATTGCCTTTGTACAGACTGGCAGGATTCAGACTCAGGATGTTATGTGTAGAGGATAGGTAACCCCCAAAAACACATGAATCAACTATACCAATTAATAGAATTAAATTTACTTTATTCTACTCTCTGCTTTCCAAAAAGCCTGGGGGTTCATACTATAGATCCAACATAACCAAAAAGAGCCAACAGAAATAAAGTGTAAAGAAAAGGCTGATGTGCTGCTGTTGCCATGTCAGAACTTTGTGGCAGAGTTTCACTGTTGCCACTTCAGTGGAAATGCATAATGCTTTGAATGTGGGCATTAGTCTTAGATTACTTGGAAGACAGTGACATTTGCCAAGTGGTTTTCATCCACATGAGAGGTGTTATGAAGAAGTAGAGGCAAAGCACATCAACAGACTGTCTCTGTGTCCTATAATACATACAAATGTTATAGAGAAATGTGCACTGTAGATCAACATTAAAATGCTGTGGTTTAGCATGCAGAGGGGTTGAAATTAAGCAGACTTGTTTACGATATATGGTTAACCACCATTATGTTTCCTCTGTGTGTGTGTGTGTGTCCAGATTCTTCATGACGGGCTACCTGCCACTGGGCTTTGAGTTTGCAGTTGAACTGACGTACCCAGAGTCAGAGGGAACCTCCTCCGGACTCCTCAACTGTTCAGCACAAGTAGGGCTCAGGGACTTGAAGCCTTATTCTCAGAACTGTGCAACACAGATCAACAGATAACATGAAAACAAGTGTTTGTGTTATTCTGGTTATTCAGAGAAAGTGAGTCATTTCCTTTCAACATAAAAACTCTCAACAAACATGCACCTTTCAAGCCGCATTTTATATCTTGAGATAATACAGATACCGTACTTGCATGTACAGTATGAGAACATGAGAGTTTTGAAAGATACATTTCCAGTCTGTGTGTAAACAGGTAACACAAATCACTCTTATGAATTGGGACCGTGGACAGCTGAGAGCAGGTAATGGCACCGTAATACTGCAGGCTTCCAAAACTCTATTCCTAACTATTACATGTTGTGCCCATGCAGGTGTTTGGCATTATATTTACCATCTGCCAGGGGAAGATCATCGATCAATTTGGCACACTGGCAGGAAACATCTTCCTCTGCATCTTTCTTCTAATCGGCACAGTGCTGACTGGTAAGACCTTTCTGTCTATAAAACACATGCTGTATAGCATCATAACAAGCTTCCGATTTCAAGTTGCACACAGCAATGCACAGGAATCATCTTTATTGGTGTCACTGTGAGAGATCATTGTGTTCCTGGGAGAAATGGTAAATTCCAAGAGTTTAATCATGTAAACGTGGTTCAGTATTATGATGCAGATATAATATTTCCAACATAGTGACAAATGTGTTTTTTATTGTTGCATATACATAAAAAAACACTTTGTCACCACCTTATGGGGGGTGCTGTTTGACCGTGGGAGCAGCTCAGGGTGTACAAACCTTTAAACATTTTTTGAAAAGGTTCAATAAAAGCAGAATACTACACCATTTTCAACTGAAATGACTGTTTAAACACAGGTACTGTCGTGTTCCATCATTATCCAAAAGTGAATGTTTTTTCATTACAGTTTTTCTCTTATCGCTTTCATTCATTTCTCACAACAGAACTGCATTTCTCAGAACTACTCGTTCAACCGTCAGATTCTGTTGTCAGTTGTTCACATCATATCAGCAATTTCTTGTTGTTTTCATCAAATTGCAATTGCTTTTGGACAACATGCAAATGGTTCTGTACATCTGTCAGCTGTTTTTGACAATTCTTGTTGCTTTTGTCCAGCTGTGCAAAATAACTTGTCCTGGTTCTCAGCTGAAATGTCACAACCACCAAACCAATTAGTCTTTTTTTCAGGTTGGAAGTCTGTACTATCAAAATGAGTGAACATGTTCTCAGAATTGCATGTCTGTACAGATTTCTGCAAAGTGTGAGTAGATGTTTGCTAAGAAATATGTCCAGAATTGAGAAATTGCTCTCAGGTGAGTCTTCACCTTCGTTAACGAAGAGAACCACCTCACAACTTCATATACTTGGATGAGGCTGGCTTCAACCTGGCCAAAGGCAGAAGGCGTGGTAGAAATCTAATCGGCCAGAGAGCTACTGTTGATGTCCCAGGCCAACGGGGAGGAAACATCACTATGTGTGCTGCTATGTCAGACCAAGGTGTGCTAGCTCATATTCCTATTATGGGACCGTACAACACACAGCATCTCCTTACATTCTTAGACAATCTCTATAGAAATGTCATTCCTGAAGAGGAGAGGGACCTCAATCAAGATGATGTACCAAAGTATGTAGTAATTTGTGATAATGTCAGTTTCCATCGCTCTGACAACATCAGGCAGTGGTTTGTCCACCACCGCAGGATGCTGATTGAATTCCTTCCACCCTACTCCCCATTCCTGAACCCAATTGAAGAGTTTTTCTCGGCTTGGCGGTGGAAAGTTTATGATCATCAGCCACATACGCGGATGACACTGCTGGCTGCCATGGATGCAGCATGTGAGGACATCTCAGCAGATGCATGCAGAGGCTGGATTAGGCACTCAAGAAGATTCTTTCCACGGTGCATAGCAAGACAAAATATATGTTGTGATGTGGATGAGAATCTGTGGCCCAACAGACAGGACCGACATGACGCATAGGAAAACTGCCACGTAATCTCACCTTTACCTTCTGTTGTACATATATAGTTCTTCCCACTTTGTCTTTTTTACAGTATGTTTCCATTGCTAGGTAAATAGACTATGTATAGTTTCCTTTGTTGTCTGTATGTAAGTACCACTATTGACAGTACAGTAGAAATGTGAGTACAGTCTGATCTTTTGTTTCGATTCTTCCATATACTGTAACGTGGGGCGATGGTGATTGGTTAGATGAGGTTAGATGGAATCATTCAGAAAATTATCTATTCTTACCATGTAAATTACTGCAACACCTGGTTGATGCACAATGGTTTGCAAGAATCACTTCTTTTTTTTACCCGGAGGGACACTGTAAATTATGATACACACCAGTACGGTAATTTAGTGGTTTCTAGTCATCAAAACCTGAGTTGAGTATAGTTTACAGTAAATAACAAAAACTGAGTATGATGTTCTACTGACAACATGACTAATAATTTTGCCTGTCACGTTCACATTGTTGAGGAAATGACATGGGATTCTGCTGCCTCTGACACAATGATTGATGAAAAAACACACTTTTGCACGATAGACAAAGCATTTTGAGCAGGTGACGCGCTTTTTCCGGTTATCCACTATGTTGTGCAGTTTGTACGTGTTGTTTTGAGAAATGCACTTGGAGATCTGCAAACTTCAATTCTGTTGTGAGAAATGAATGAAAGCGATAGAGAAAAACTGTAAACAGAGCTCTAAGCAGAAAATTCTTATCATAATTATAATTATAATCACTCATATCATAATACTGTTATCTGTTGACTGTGAGATGGAATCCTTTGCCTGACTCTGAAGGTAATCAACATACTGTATAATCAGACATACTCCACATACTTTCAGTAGAGGTTTTGGAGGTGGGGAGTATGATCAGTGTAATACTTACAAAAATACCCCAGTCACTATCTGCTCACAAATCTTGGCACACTGACTCACTGTCTATTACTGTACTTACTTATTCATCATTTAGACATGTGAATGGACTTCTGGTTGTCGTCATTGTGCTATTTTTTTTTTTTAAACACAAAGGACAATTTTGTGGAGAACCAAACTAAACTCCTGGTTCTTTGATTTGTTACAAAATATATTTTATAGATTCTTATGTGAAGCTGCTGAACTGGCTAAAGGTGTGATCAAAATGCATGTACAGTATTGACAGCGGAGATTGACAGTACTTATTAGATTGCAGTCAGGTTGCTTGGAGTTTGATGAAACGTTACAGTAGGATGCATGACTTCAGTTTGCCATTCTGGATTTTATCCTTCATATTGTCATTTGTTTCCATGCAACATGGGAAATAAAAGTATATTATACTTTTAATAGAGCTACTACTGTGATAGTAATGTGGATAGACATTATTAAATCTTCAGCACTTGTTAAAGATAACGTCAAGTTCAGAGGGCTCATGTAAAATATTATTTTTATTTCTGTGTTTCTTTTTAATAGAATATATACAGTATAGGTCTTTACCTCATGCTGATGTCATCTTTATTCTTTGCAGGCTTTATCAAGTCTGACCTGAGGAGGCAAAATGCAAACCTGTTTGCTGAAGCAGCAGTAAGTATTAAGCAAACCAATGAAGGGAGTCAGGTTTTGTGCGTTTGTGGGGCATATAGCTGAACAATGGTGTTGGTAGCGCAATGTAGAATTGCCCTTTTTCATGGAAGACGTTTTGGTATGTCCCATTAAAGATTCATGCTGACTCTCTGTCACACTATCATGACTTATTGGGACACTTCAATAGAACCGAGCCATTATAAATATTATCAGTACAACCTGTGGTGTTCCATATCAAAATGTCTGCTGTGAAAAAGGCGGATATGTTACTTCTTGTCACATGTTTGCATGCTGTCAAAGTCACATGTGCGTGTGCTGCTCCATAAAAAACATGTATGTTTGCCGTCATCTTCAGCAGGGCTGCTAATTTTGTATAAAATATTGGTGAGCATGAACTCATAGCATGACTATGGCTCTGTGCTGCATGTCAGGTGTCTGTCATCCTTCTCTGTATAATGCAAAACAAAGCTTGCATCTGCTGTCTCAAAAATAACGCCACTTACAAAGCAATTTCCTGTTAATTTCATACACAGAAATGTTACCTCTGAATGATTTCAGTCATTTATTTATATGTTAAGGAATTATTAACTTACTAAAATATGAAGTTTTTTTAACTTGTCTGCCTAGTTTGAGCATTTACTGCATTAATGCTATGGTCCCCACTGTTCTTAATCCAGTCTGTCATAATGCAATTCTTTCTATTTTACCACTGTGTGGCTTGTCAACCTTGGGTAGCACTGCTTTGGGCATAGTTTGAGAAAGAAAAGAAAATTATGACTTAAAAAAAAACACTATTGTCTCAATGATGCACAAAAGCAACTGAAGCAATGTTTCCCTAAGGACCATGGATAAAACTAGAAGAAAACTTGCTACTGATGTTTGGGTGGGTCTCCAAGCTCTGTGGTGAAGTTACTGATGTTAATGTATAGTGAAGAAAAGACACAGGGGTTCATAATATATTTAAACATTTCTTTTCCAAAATGCTTAATAGCTTTGTGGTGCTGGGGTTGAGTTAGATATTACTCTTGTATTTGTTTGTTAAAGCAGGTGGTGAAAAGCTGAAAAAAGCTTTATCTGAAGCAAAAAAATCTGCCAACCATCACCTCCACAGCTAACATGTTATATTTTAGTTGTTTAAGCCATACAAATATCTAAGTGTAAAAACAAAAATTTGTCATTTTATTTGGAATAACATGCCACTATGTTCTCACTGGGAGCTAAGCTAAGCTAACTGGCTACTAGAGGTGGGAGTAAACCACATATGTGCACATCACAAGTCTCAAGTCTTAACTTTCAAGTCTCAAGCAAGTCCCAAGTTACTGTAGCAAGTCAAGTCGAGTCCCTGCTATAAGTCAAGCAAGTCACAAGTCAAGTCGTATAAAATTCTGATGCTCTGATAATGTTATGGGAATATGACATATTTAAGTGAAATGTTCACAAACCTAAAAGGCATGCCTTTCATGGCCATCTCATTCTTCTTCTTCTTTTTTCGGCTGTTCCTGTTAGGGGTCGCCACAGCGAATCATCTGTTTCCACCCAACTCTATCCTCGGCATCCTCTACTCTCACCCCAGTTAACTTCATGTCCTCTTTTAGCACATCCATATATCTCCTCTTTGGCCTTCCTCTTGACCTCTTGCC